TGAGTCCTAGTGAGTTGGTACACACAGCGCATACAGTACCCCCCTCCCCACCCCCCGCTCTCTCTCCACTCCAGGCGCCGGCGTTGTCAACCCGTGTGCCGCGCTGTCGCTGGGGTACCTCTGACCCTCTAGGGTTCTCATCCTCTCGCTATCGACGCGCTCCATCGCCGTGATTGCGCCGGTCAAACGACGCCGCGCTCGCCTTGTTTCCTATCCCCTTGCCCATCTCGATGCTTGCCGTTCACGTGAGCGCAGCGAGACCGACGCTGAGGTTCGTGTCTTGGGGGCACCCCTGTCTGTGCTGGCTAAGACCGGTCGGAAAGCCAGGATCCTGGCAGTCACGCAAAGGACACAGCAAGCGGCCTCCCGCCTCCACCCACGCACACACACGCACACTATTTGGTGCATGGGGTAGTATCCAGGGCGCGACAGGCCGGGAACCCGTGCGGGCAGGCCCATTGTGACGTTGCCGAATAGCCCCAAGGCACACGAATTGCGGACAATTTGCGATCAGCGCTTGTTTGTGAGGTGCCAGGCTCCCTTAGTTGCCTTCAACACTGACGAGAAAATGCGACGAGCTGTCAGTGTCGTCGCTTGAGGTCAGACGTGCGCAATCTGTAAAGTCTGGCTGGCCCTTAGTTTGCCAAGCTGTTCTCAGCATGCGCGATCAGAACCGGCTGGTCTCTAGGCCGAGAGTTGTACCCATCCTCGGACAAGGAGGTCCAACATGCAGTGCTGGACTGGCAGACTTGTTGACCAGGGCCGATTACTCGACGGCAGGTGTGCTTTTTCTTGCGAAAAAAAAAACAAGGTTGACATTTGACATAATTCTCCGCAGTGCCTCCGCGCTCCTTTCAGCTCATGATTGAATGGTGAAAACATGGAAAATCTGGATCAATGAGAGAATGTTTGGTAGTCATCTTCTATACGGTTCGTTCGACACCCATCGCTGTAGTTGCCCCGCGTCTACCCTCCCTCATGAGGTAGTGAAAGTCCCGCCCCCGATCCCGAAACATGAACACGCCAAGATTAGACCAGAAGAAGTAATGTGGATAAAAGAGAGAAGAAGAAGAGAAGAAGTAAAGGTGAATCCACCTCTCATTGCATGGAGATTGTCTCGCGTGAGCTGTTGTAGTCCGTCTGCCCCCCATTGCCTCCCATTGCCTATCCGTATCGAGCCGCGTCCGTCTGCCCGAAATGAGTGTATTCGGCCGAACATGCGCTTCAAGAAGCATGAAAAAGAAACAAACAAAAAAATGATGAAGAAATGGCCGGGAAGCGCCTGCTTAGGCACGCATCCCTCTGCCACCACGGCTCTGTGGCGAGCCTGTGGGCGCCCTGCTGTTACCACTGCTGTTGCAAACCATCTCTCCACACGCCTGGTTCGTGGCCCGCCGGCCCTGTTGGATTGAAGAGGACTGTCCCATGCCCACCGAATCGTCGTCGTTATCAAAAGTCTGGGGTGACTCGGCCTCCAGTTTATACGCTCGCGTGTCGATATCATCGAGCACCTGCTCGCGTTCCCCAGGGCTCAGGCCAATGGTAGCAAAGGAGCTCGCACTGTTTGGCAAGTCGTCTCGAACCGAGTAATCGTGGATAAAAGAGGAAGAAGTAGCTGAGGGTAGTTGTTGACGTCCGCGGTCGTCGTCGCGTGTAGTCGCTGTGCTACGTTGGCGCTCGTTCAGTTTGCGCCTTCGGCGGGTGCTCATCTTGGCGTCCCCTTTCCAGGCGTCCATCCAGACGTGTGAAAGGCCAAGCTCAACCATGCGCATCTCGATATTGCCAACATTAAAGTCTGCTTGAGGGTTGCCTCCAAGTTCTTTAAATTTCAGGTGCACCTGTCGATAGTACTGTTGTTCGACTTGTCTGGCCGCTTCCACAAGAATCGTGTCCTAGAGGGAATGTGAGCGGGATCATTCTTTTGGCGAGGGGTCGGCCTTGTAAACTTACATCCTTTTCATGCCACTGTATCCACTTGGACTTTGCTCTTGAGACTTTCATTTGGAGCGCGGCCCGATCAAACTGTGTCTTGAACCTCTCGTTGTATTCCCGTGTAATGGGGTCCCACATCCCCTTACCCTTGTTGTCGCTGTATTTGGCGCGCAGCTCGAAAAGAAACTTGTCCGTGTCAGGCATGCCTTCCTTGAAATCCAAAGGCTCAGAGCTGCCGTGGCTAGGGGGAAAGGCGGTGCTCCGAGGAGCGTCCTTCTCCCCTGTTCCTTCCCGTCCGCCGGTCGACTGCGGCGCCTGGCGACCTCGTATGCGAGTTCGTTTCGCAACACGGGGAGGGGGCTGGCCCCGCCTGACTTGGGTTCCGCTCGTGTTGGGTGGCAGCGTGTAGCCCCCATTGTGCATCATGCGCAAGTCTTCATTGCTCGGGCTTCTGTATTGCGGCGATCGATAGTGGTTCGGTTGCGTCTGGTGAAGGCTTGGCGCGTCGGGGGACGGCATGATGTGGCGATGCATGTTGTGGTGCTGCATATGA